CCCAAAAACATGCCGAGGATATACCAGTGTAACCCTAAATATGAGACCCCAAATAGGCCCTTAAAGATTGTGCTAGTATAATTTTTTGGCATAATAATATGCATGACAAAATTACTGTGATCCAATGTGGCTATCAAAGAGAATAACAAAGAACATTTAACAAAACATAAGGGTATGGACGTTTTTCAATGTGCTCTTTTTATAGCCACGCAGTAACCGTATCTGGGAGCTTCTCCGGACAGAATTCAAGTTTGTAAGTGTTGTGTCAAGACACTTGGAGGTCACGAGCATTTTTAGCAAAAGAAATCTTCAACCCCATGATGGGGAAGCTCACTGCCTTGATGAACTGGCTGGCAAATACTATCAAACGCAAGCTATATTCTATCAAATCTAGCTTTAGCTAGGTTGGAACAGTGTAATCCTATTATTCCCACTCTTAAGGGAAATTTATAGTACCTGTAAAATTTGAGAAAGAACTGTGGGAGCAAATGGTGAGGAAGCTAACAAAGCTTTTTTGAATCATATGGTGCCTGAACTCTCAAGTGGAAAGATTCATGAAGGGGTTACTCACGCCTGACTAAGCCTTTAAGAATTCAAGCACCTTCCATGTTAAAATTAATTTAACATACACTTACAAGATGCCAAATAGTCCTTATGGCCTGATTACAGAATAGAGGATACACTTAATTTGCTTATTGGGTTTTTAGATGAAGAAAGATATGACAGATGCATTGTAATATGACAGAAGTGTTAGTGACCATGGTATCATAAGTTTTTGTCTGTTAACCAATGTTATCCTATATCAGTTCTTAACATCGATTCATTTTTAATGATATCGTGCATTTGTTGGCGGTTGACGTCCGTCTGACAAGAAACAAGGAAATTTGGTCGGGAAAAATTTCTTTGCTGTCGGCGCTCAAATTTTGTTTTCTTCGCTCATTAGATTTTTTCCGTTGACTTGGACTTCTAATACCTGTATGGTGGTCAGATATTGTTGGAAACGTTCTTTCTTCGCGATTTGATTTGTCTCGAAGTGTTCGGAGCATGTACACTGTAAAATGAAGAGAGCCAAATTGACCCCAAATGCCAAACTGGCCCCAATGTCTTGAGGGCCAGTTTGGACTCTCGAGGTTCGTTTTGGACTATTTAAGCTAAAACGGGTCGGACAGGTACCATTTCGACCCCTCAAAAATCTGAATTGGCCCAAATGAATTCTACTTTGGAACTTTTTCTCAATTTGGCCCTGCCAAGAGCCAAGTAGGATTTACCAATTTGGCCCCAACGAGGTGCAATTTTTGAAATGACTGATAATTACCTCAAAATTGTCAACAATTTTGGTTACATGGAAGTCCCATCACGATTTGAACGACACAAGGACGTAGGGATTTGGGATGTTATAAGGGCAATAAACCAGTAAAAGTAAATTTTTCGCTCGGTCGAGACCGGCACAATAAACTATCGATTGACTTACTCAACTTAATGCTTTAAATTTTTTAATAAGTAAAATTTTGTCATAAAAGGTGTTTCTCTCCAAAATTCGTCCTTCTTGTGCTAGTGCGTCTTAGCAGCTCCTTCTGCGTATCGCATCAGTCGAACCTAGACCGCATGCGTCGGACACAATAATGAATTATAGCAGCGAATTCATCACTGAAGAGGCTGTTTCCTGGCTACAGTCGCATGGAATGAGACTTAAGTAAGGAAAGGTAAGCAAAACAAATTTCTTAACAACACACTTTAGTACAGCTTTACATACACAAACTTGACCGCTCCATTGATCTTTGTTCGTATCTTATCTTACAGAAAAGGACGGTTGCGATGGCCAAGATCTCCTTGCCATCGCCCAAGATGCAGACGTACCAAGGCACTACATCTCTAATATAAAAGAGCGTCTAAAGTTTCAGAAATTGATTGCAATGAACGCTGAACCTAGAGATGACACGAGTTCTTCGTCGGTACGATTATTAATTTTCCCACCAGAGAATTTGACGCATGATTGGTAGCGGTTCCACAACTAAAGTCACGTGATCAAATTTTGGCGCCGAAAGATAAAGACGGTAACAGTTCGAATACTGCGTTTGCACAAGATGGATTTAACTCATTTCAAGATTCTCTGATTTTAGGATCTCTCACTCTGAATTCTTAATCTTTTTCTTGAAAAGATGAACTGATATTTTTGTGTCTGTCTTTGTTTGCATCCACTTAAGCTGATGTTTTTGGCTCTCTCTCTTTCAGCGTGCATAATCAAGTCCTTCGAGTAAGGCGTTTCAAACGTCGATTGATGATTCAGAAAACATCAGCGATTATGAAAATTTAGAGGTGACATCGGCACCGAAAGAAAAGAGTAAATCGCCCAAGGATCTCTGTTTTACGGACGAGGCGACAGAACTGAGCATTGTCTAAGTAAGTTCTTATATATTAAACTTAGCAGGATGGTGAAGACTACATTATAGATTACTTTCTTTCGATTTTATCCCAAAGGAAAACACACAAGCTGCCAGTTCGTCAGTTAAGATGAGAAATCTCGGGGATAGCACCTACAAAAATGGTGAGATTTGCTTTATTTTTATTGAAATATTTTAGATATGTATTTACTTGCACCATGCATAAAACAAAGTTAACCCAATGTTTAAATCTGGTAAATTAAAAAATTAGTGAATTGATAGGAAGTTATCAGACAGTTTAATTTTTTTGAAAACAAATATTTACCTATAGGTTCCTCCTGGATGGCTTTCAAAATTCCAACCACCATCGAGGGTAAGAAAATTTTCTTTGTTTTGTTTTTTAAGTCTACAAGCAATCCTTATAAATGCATGAATACTGAACTAAAACTGAAGTGCATAGAGGTATGATTTCTTTTCTTGATAAGTACTTATACAGTTTGGTGAAAATACATCATTCATGATCACCATTATTGTGTTTTTACTTTTTATGCACAGTTTGCTTACATATATTTTGCAACTTTGTAGTTGCAAAATTTACTGTTCTCCAATAACAAATTAATTCGCTCATTTGTTTGTTTTTTTGTACAGTTCTCTGCCTCAGAAGAGTTGGATATCCAGAAGAGATATCTCACCAGCAGCCCAAAGTACTCTGGGCAGCAGTGAATTGCAAAAAAAAAATTGCATAGTATCCTTGTATGGCTAGCAGGATACTAGACTAAGTTGACTTGGAAACTGAATGGACTGGTATGGTTTAAAAATCTATTGATTTGCCTCTTCTGCTTGCAGTGAAGAGAGACAATTTTGTGGTGCTGAATCTCTTGCCTTAAACTAAAAAGTTGCAAAATAATCACTCTCACCATTTAAGTCCATAACCTTTGTTCTTTTGTGTTTGCCATCACATATGCATTGAATGAAGTTGTGACCATTTTGGAGGTACGAGTCCAAAAAACTCCTACTTTGGTACTAAGATGAACATCTAAAATTTCTGAGCCCATTTGCTAATGAAGTCCACATACAAATGTTCAAGTACTTTGTGTTTGTATTTAATTTTGCCTTCTTTTTGTTTAGTTTTTTTTTTTTTTATTTTGCAACTTTTTAAAAAATTCCTGTCATCAAACCATTAGATATGCTGACGTCCGATCTCACCTCTCTGGTTCCTCTGCAATTCAGCCCTTGGCTGCAAGTGAGGAAATTGGCACCATTCATCTCATCTCATCTCTCTCATCTATCTCTCTCGATAAATATTGCACATGGAATAGCTGATTCTTTTCAGATATTTTGGGAGTCATGCATTATTTTTTCAAGTCTTGAAGGGGAGACAAATTACACACATTGAGCTAAACTTCCACCACCATTTCTAGTGTTTTAGCTTATAGTTTTAGAAAAACATTATGTATATATCCATTTTTTTACTGGCTACAGGAACTTTTGCACTTTAGTTTGATTTCAATATGGTTGTAAAACTTGTTTTTATTGCATAGAGTAGCTGATGTTGATCCAGAAATCAATGATTATGTCCAGCACAAATTTTAATTGTTGGAGATCTTCAATACATCAATCTCCTGAATACAGTAACAGAGGGAAGTGTAATTTGTCACTTCCCACAAGAAAAGATTCTTGATGCTC